GATGTGATGTCTGAGCGTGGGCAAGATTCTCAAGCTCCGGCGCCTTCGCTTCTTGGCTTGGATTTTGCATCAGGGCGTCATTCCTTGTAGAATGGCTGTGCTGTGTGTTTGAGGTTGAAAGGCTCTGCGGACAAGATCCAATTCCCGGCGGTCAGTCAGAACACGAACCCGTATCAGGTTTTGGCAACATTCTTGGTTATCCTGGGGCGAAAGATCGATCTGGCTTGCAATGTGAAGGACATGTGTTGAATATGTGCTCTGGCATGGCATGATGCATGAGGCTGACCTTGCTAACGGCAAACTGACAGGACAAAATTGTTGAACATGACTCTGTTCCACGTGCTGCTGAGCGATGTCCTTATTTGTGTAAGTGCTGCAAGAAAACTGCGTTGATGTGTTGAGTTATGGCATGCGTTGAGGCTCATCAAAGGCATCGACCGTCCACTGAACCAGCTCAAAGACTTGAATGAGAAGTTGATTGAGCAACAGGTCCAGTCCATGGCCAAGACACCGGAGAAGTGCGGTGCCCATGTATGTGCATTTTTTCAATCAGGGCGCTGGTGTCATGTTCACTGCCTGGCCCTTGTAAAGTTTGCAGGTCTCAACGTGAAGCGCTTCTACGCATGTTCATTGATGTTACTAAGCATGATGTGGAGATGTCCAACTACATCTGGCGTGCCAAGTCACTTGTATATATACAGAATCCTTATTGTGTTGCTGAAAGTGGAAAACCCATGCATGTTGATTTGTGGGTACAGCTGAGGAAGTTCAAGCCTCCTGTCAGCGCAGAAGAAAAAGAGCGGAAAGCAGAAGCTGCAAAAGAAAAGAAAAAGAAAAAAGAAGAGAAAAAAGACGAGAGGAAAGATGAGGTGAAGAATGAATCGGGCTCTGAAGACACGAAGCAAAAAAAGCCCAGCCCTGAGCTGATTGCATGATGAACAAAAATAAAAGTGGACTTGCTGAGGAAAAAAGCCAAGAAGTGATTTGTGTGTGAGTGCTGCCAAGTGCGACATGCCCTGTGGAGATGCTGTTCAAAAAGATTCAAGCACACAAGATCTTGTTTCTCCGTTGTGTATGTGTATGACTTGTTTCGAATTGTTGGAACAGGGGCACTGTTGGCTGCCTAAAGGGCAATAGATTTTGATGGTGCTGTGCGTGAGAAACAGATGTTTTCGTCTGCTTTGTGCATGCGCTGCCCAGACCATGTTTGCACACGTGGACGGAAACCCTGGCCAGGCATGCTGCAAGATGGTCATGAAAAGGAAGAAGTTTCATTGCTTCACTCTTGGTTGCATGTCTCTTCCTGTCTGCATATACTGCAGTGCGCTGTCATCCTGTCTGAGTATAGTGTGCGCTGCTCAGGTCCAGGACAAGAGGCCTGGCCACAGTCCCAGCAAGTTGACACCCTGTATTTGCCTGCCGTTTTCTGGAGGATCTAAGCGCAAGAGAATGAGTTCAAGCCATTGTGCCTCGTCTTCCTGCCTGGAATCTGGTAGTGTGGTTTGTGAAGTCGGGATGTCTTGCAAGGTCTTCAACGTCAGAATGAAGAGATGATGGAAACAGAGCTTCTTGAGGGAATGCTTGAAGGGTTTGCTCGTGGAGTCACAGCCTCAGGCAAATCATGTGCACTGTGTGATTGCGCATGCATAGGTGTGTGTATAATCTTGAATCTTGAGGCTGACTCGGCGAGACAAATTGTCTCCCTGACTCGCTTGTTTGATTTGGGTCGCTATGGAGGACGTCAGGATCTGAGCTTCAACCTGTGTTAGTTGGTGGTGTCGTCCTTTAGTGTAGCGGTTGTGTTGTGAGGTTCAAATGAGGTGCTCAGCAAGATTTCCAGCTGGAAAAACCCTGCGCATTGGAGCCGCAACTTGCACAGACTGGTGCATCGATACCACCTGACCCTCTCAGTGCGCCTTACAGACCTTCAGGTACCAGTTCGCCTGAAAGGAGAATCCGTCATCATGCCTTGGCCAGTGTTGCTTCCCTCGAGCTTCTTGAGGTTCATGCTAGACAAAAGTTCTGGGCATGTTCTTTTGGGTGGACATGCCTTCGATGAGGCTGCATCATGGAAGCGTGGGTTCAGTGAGTTTTGGCAACGATGCAGCCGCACGCACAAAGACCATGAAGTGTTCACGGATCATCAACATCACTTGGAGACTTGTGTGCCAATACTGCTTCACGGCGATGAGGGCCGTGGCAAGCTCCGTCGACAAGTCATGTGTGTGTCCTGGCAGCCGGTGCTGAAAGTTGCTGGACACAGCTTCAGATCTCGGCAGCTCATTGCAATCTTGCCTGGGGAAAAGTATGCTGGTGACTCCAGCCTGGACATTATACATGATGCTGTGGCTGCTGATCTTTCGATGCTGTACATGCAGGGAATGACAGTCTTTTGGCCAGCAATTTGTCACTTCTCAATTCACTGATAGATTGTTTGCTATTTCTTCTTTGCATATTTATTCTGAGGTGACCCTGGCCAGTGGGGCACAAGAGAGACTATACCTGGTGCCGTTTGGAATAAAGGGTGATTGGGTATACTTGCGTGGCCTGGACGCACATGATCTGCATGGCATGAAGCTGAGATGGTGCTGAGAGAGCAATGTGAGCTCAGGCAAGGTGCACAAGTTGACCCCAGGCTTTACCTCACTCAGAAAATGTCACTACTGTGATGGCAGTGTGCCTTGGCGTATTTCTGCCATCAAGACATTGTATGTGTCTGATTGTAGCTTGAAAGAAGCCGATGCGCCCTCAGGACTGGTGGAACATGAAAGCAACAGCATTGTGGCGAAGCCAACGGCCAGGTGCAGATCCTGTCCGCCCAGGAGAGCAGCCTTTGCTTCACCAACTTCCCGGTTGCCACCCCTGCTTCAGCCCCCCTGACCAAATGCATACGTGGCATCATGGGATCGGAAGAGAATTTTGCGCAGGTGGCATAGTATCACGCTTGCACTCATGGTTTCTGTTGGTACGCATGTGCTTTGGACTGTGTCCTGCTGAGAAATTGTGATGTTGAGGTTCTACTTGCTTGCCGATGGCACCTGTTTGGTGGGAACAACATTGATGCGCGTTTGTCCAATGCTTTTGATTCCTTTGATATATGGCGCCGGGCCATGAAGTTGAATACTTCATTGACAAAGTTTGAGCTTGCCACATTCAAGATGACATCGCTTCTTGGTGTCCAAAGGAGTTGCATGGACCAGCGTATTGCATGTGAGTTTGTGTGTGGGTCTTGCCTGTACGTGCAGCTGTCAGGCTCTCAGACTTTCCGAAATGCTCATGGAAAGGCTATGACACCACGGTGGTTTCCAAGTGGCTCCTCCACCTTGTGAGCACAGTGAACCCGGAAGAGCATGTCCCATGACTTATTTGGTCCTTGTTTGTGAAGTTGGTTGTGGTTGTTGAGAAGACTTGGCTTGGCTGCTCTAGCTAAGGGCGTGGATCAAGATATTTGGGCTCTCCTCCATTTCACTCTGCAAAATATCGATGTGTACTTTCGATCCATCCCAAGCCACAAAACATGGCTCAAGAGGGATGTTGCCGAGCAGTCTGTATCAGCATGTCAATCAATGACTGAAACTTGCTCGTCATTTCAGCTTGTGGTGTTGCAGCTCATGTGATGTAAGCCTGCTCGATTGCCCTGTGTGTTTCCAAGGAAGGAATCAGTGCACTGCATGCCTACTGTGAATTTAAATCTTGGAAGCTGTTTGCCAAGCGGCCGAAAGCACACATGCAGCAAGAAATCATGAACCTTCGCAGCACTCTTTGAAGAATGCTACAGTGTTGGTGCTGTCTAGAGTCATGTACATCGCTTTTTTATATATCCAAGTACATAGATATATATAGATATTTTTATGGATTTCTTTTAATGCATGGGATGTGTGTTCTGTGCTGCTGGTTGTGCCATAGGACCACATGCAAGCAAACAGAAGAGTCTCGCAGGTGTCATGTGCTTGTTGCCTGTCCTGGTTCAACTCTTAATACAGCCGAGTTACATACAATTAAGAAATGGTTCTGAAAGCCAGATGGTTGCGTTCTCTCCATGACCCATCGTGCGAGACATGTGCTGTGTCATGCGCCCAAGGATGTGGATGTGTGATCAGCTGGCTGATCAAGGTGCAGATTGGATACTTTCGCCGGCGTGCCCTTTGACATCACCTGTTAACATCCTGCCCTGCTGGTTTGTGCATGTTGGTCAGTGAGCTGTTCTTACCCTAAGGCTACCAAACATGGATAGATGAAGATTTCATTGGACGAGCCACTTGGAAACAATGACCATGCTGTGCCTCATGTTTGTGTTTTGATGCCAACTTCGGTCACTTGCATGGATTGCTTTCTCAGGTCTGCCGAATGAGCCGACGTTGCCATGCTTGGTGTATAGCGCTGAGGACTATTCAGCGGGCACTATGCCACTACAAAAGTGAGTGGAAGAAGAAAGGTTGGCTGAGGTGAAATGGAAAAAGTGATGGATCGACTTGATCACATTCAGATATTGCTTGACTTTATCGCTTTCACAATCATTCTGCTTCATCCCATGGCTTTCTGAAGCACTTCACATTTTCATCGCGCAACTCGAGCGCCTTTTTTTTCCAAAGTTGAAACGTGCACATTTCTTGGAACATGTACTCAATCGTGCGCATTTATAAGAAACATACCTCGAGCAAATTTTTCTGTACCAAAGGGTGGTGCAGGATATATATATTGTTATATATCCTATAGCCTATAGCCTAGATATATCTAATTATATATATATAACCCTATAGCCTAGAAAATATATAGTTATATAAGCTGATCGACCTGCTGGAGCGACAGAGTTCTGAAAAGGAGCAGTGGAACGAGCAGAAGAAGCAGTACCAGTTTTGTCATGAGTTGGACTGACTGACTGGAACTGCTCGCTTCTGCTCATGGACTGCTTTTTCTTTGATGTGGAACACAACCAGCCCCTCTTCTCAGCCCACCATGCCCAGATCGCAGCAACGGGTTCAAAAAGGCAGTCCGCCAGCCTCTCTATGAGGTACTCTTGGCCGCCTAAGTGCACCATGTCAAGTTCATCATCCCATCAGCTCCCATCTGGTTGATTTCTGCAAGAGAACATGATCTTAAGCATAACTGTTTAGCTTTAGTCCGATTCTGGGGACCGTCTTGAATCCACATTTCGACCATTTTTGACCGTTTCCACCAAACAAAAAGAACAAACAGTGTGGGACAGTGGATGTCAGTGTTCTGACCCAACAACAGTGGATCATCTTCTACCGACAGCTCTACTGTTTTACTGGAACACACCCTACAAATCACTGAGGTATTCCCCCTACAAGTTCAGTCTAACCCAGTGCCAGGTCTCTGATCTCCTTGACATTGAGTCTATTGAATGATTGTGAACTTGTATGACCAACTCCAGGAGCTTCATGAGCTCAATTCCTGACCTGTAGGGCTCTTCCTGACCTGTAGGGCTCCACCTCACCCCGCCAGGGAAACCACACCAATCCACCACTTTCACACAGAAAAAATGGGAGAGGCTCCAACTCTTGAGGCTCCACCTCTTGAGGCTCCATCCGGACTTGGAGGGAAAATGGATTCTGATATTCTACAGGGGGTGTGTCCCTCCAACAGGTCACCACCTGACACTTTGAAGTCTACAAAAGTCACCAGAGGAGACGTGTGAATCCACCACCCTTTCCGTGGTGCTCATGGGAAAAGCAACAGAAACGGGTCGAAACGGGTCCTGCCAAGCTGCAGCAAGGGCCCCGCCACGTTGCTCGGGGCATTGGAGCCACCCTGGGAGTTCGACCGGACGTCACGGCTTCGGAAGACACCTCCATGGGTCGGTGGCTCAAAAGAAGGAAGAGAATCGGGCGGGGATCATGAAGAGGGGTTCGTTCTTAACCACTGAACCCCACACGTTCCAAACTTTTGGGAAGGGCTTGGAACTCGAAAAACAGATGCCAGGACAGTATACTTATATAATAGATGTCCGCACTGTGCCCGAAAACTCTTCAACTGCAATTGCTTCCAATTTGCATCACTTCTTAGAGCTCCGAGAGTTGCAGGTCCTGTTGCAGCCATCGAAAACAAACACGACCCGCCACGAGCCAATTGTTTGAGCTGGGCCAACCGAGCAAAAAGGTCCTGCAGCCAGTCGGGCACATCGCCTGCGGCTTTAGCAGGCCTCGGTGGAGGGCTTCTTCCGAATGAGTTGATTCGGTACCAGGGACCTGCAAGGGATGATAATAGAAGCCATAGAGTCTACTTAGAGGTTAAGGAGTGTCCATTCACCACCCCTAGACCGGCGCCCTGGTACAAGCTCTTTTCGTGTCGGCCAATCCACATGTCCTGCCGTCGAACTCGAATAAGAGTGGTCGGACGTTGGAGCTTGTGGAGATGGAGGTCAACCCCCGGGTGGGGGCCCAAGAGGGACCCCTGTTGAGGCCATAGGATTGTTGGGAGAGGGAGCAAAACTTACTGTCTTTGCTGATTCCACTACATGTTTTCTGAAGAAAAGCGATGTTCTTGGGAACATCTGCCAAAACGCGATCTTCTCTCCAAAGTCCGACAATTCTACAGGTACTGAGCTCAAGTCTGTAGGTCCAAAGGACACCAGAAGAGGAAGATTCATTTTTTTCGTGGTACCTCTCCTACAATGAGTGTTGTCTCTCACAAAGCGTCTGTGCAGGCCTTCACAAACATTGGTCCTGCTTAGCCGGCTTAGCCCTGCTGAACGCTCAGCTTCTGTTCATCACCCATTTGCCAGGTCTCGTTGGTCCACTTGGAGTTCTTGTCCGGTGTCAAAGAGCTTCAGAAGCGCATACGCAGTGGATCAATCCATAGGACCAGACCATGCATGTATGGAATTAGTTGTTTACCCCGTGCGAAACTAAGATGGACCCTGAAAACCACTGGTTTGCAAAGGAAACCATCTTTCCGGGTCCCATGATCAGGGTCCATGTTAGTGTTCGGGAGTGTAAATGACTCAATCATGACCCATCCATGCAAGCAACTAAACTATTCCACTGTAGTCAAGGGAGGGTTCCAATCTGTACACATTCCACTCCTATCGATTGTCTGGGATCAGGACAGCAAATACCATTTCGGACGCTTTGTTCGAGGTGAGACCCAAACAAATCCCTGCAATCTGTAGGTTGGGGCCAAATCAATCCGTATCTGAGGAACTGTTCTGAGCAAACCAAAGAGGTCCAAATGGGTTTGTATGTTACTAGGGAATCCCCTCACCAATCCAATCCAAACAGTTCCAAAACCCGGCGCGTTTTGGCCGAGTTCGGTGCTGTTGTTGCAACGGTGCTGCTGCTCGGCCCTGCGGCAATGGATCCCAACATTAATGGATCAACAAAAATCCTCTTCCCTACACCAAACCACGTACTCTTCCTCTATATAGCCACTAAAAGATTGAAAAACAGCACAGTGGAAGGGCAAGTTACTTCTAAAGGGGCCTATACTGAGGGCTGACTTCGGAAATTGCTGGGCTAGTGACATGGGAGTTGTGGGCCACTGCGATTTCACCGTCGTCTCTCCTTTAGTACCGCTTTCGACCAATTTCTTGGAGATGCGGTCGGCTCGTCTCCGCTGTCGCCGTGCGGACTCAAAACGATCAAGAAACGGTCGTTTTGGGATGCATGCAGGCAAGTTGCCACTCGGAGGTGATCAGAACCTACATGGGGTTTCTCGGATGAAGTGAATGTCCAAAAACCAGATTGAGAGAACTGGAGGAAGACTATCAGCAAACACGGTCTGGCAGTGTTGGGAATGAAGATCATCAAACCTGCCAGGACATCCCCCAACAGAACGCAGGGGCTCATTCCCACATTCCCAACAGAACGCAGCCGTTTCAAGTGACGGCATTCCCACACGTGCCGTCATCGGTGAACGGCCTCGCCGGGCACCGGCGCGGGATTCGATTTGGGCCTCAGCGGCATTCGATTCATCCAAACATTGGTGTAGCTGGGAGCTCACCCATTTGGGCTCCTGTCCCATATCCTCATAAGGCAGTGATAGGTGTGAGGCTACTCCCCCCTGGCACTCACCCTCACCACCGAACCGAAACAGGTGGGGCTGCCACCGGAGCGGCTCCGGCTCAGGCGTCACATGAGTTCTTGGGGAGATGAAGGCGTCTGTCGATGTGCTTACATCACCATGCCGCCTAAATCGTGCGGGAACCGCAACATCCGTCGTTGCCAGCGGAAGACTTAAAGTCGACCTGGTCCGAAATGTGGGGGTGACCGAACGACCGAACGACCAGCAAAACCTAGGCTGTCAAATCCAAACACTCCATGGATGATCATGGATGCATATTTACTTGCACTTGGGTGGTTTGAGGGGTCAATGTATTATAACACATGACATACATACAGTGTTTTGGGGAAGTCACAGTCAAATTAAGTTCGAGCCAACTATGACGGCGTGGTGTCCAACATGGTGGCAAGCCCTTGGAAACCCAGGGCATGCATCCGCACTCGCGAGCACTAGGTCCCTAGGTTCTTGAAGCACAAGGCATGAATGACTTCTGAGTAAGTAGATCCTTCTGAACCTGAACAAAAAGTGATCCCTGCATGGTTCCCAAATTCATGCAATCAATCAAACAGAATCACATGCGAAGTTTGTACCAACCAACCCCTAGATCACTCCCATTGCAGCAAGAAAACACTCAACCAAACCCTTCCCAGTCTGGTGATCTCTAAGTCAGAGACTCATTGATAACTCGTGGTGAACCAACTCACCAGGTCACTACCTACCGAGGTCACTACCTACCGAGGTCACTACATCTCAGCCTTCCACCCGTAAAACCCCGGAACCGGGGCACCCGGGCGCACGAGGCGCTTCCACAGGTTTGGGCTTCTCATCTGGAGACTTCGGGAGCCAATCCTCGGTGACCCGGTGAGAGTTGAAGTCCTGAACAAACTCCCGGTCGGGCGCACCACGCGTCTCTGCACCACGGTCCTGACATTCAACAACTCACGCACCAACAGCGCGCGGAGCTCGAAAAAGGTTGATGGTTGGAACGTTGGGTTGGCTGAAAATGGAGATTCACCCATTGGGTGGTTTCTGACTTGGCAGGTTTAATACGCTGGTCTACAAACTTCTGAAAGAATGTGTTAGAAAACACCCAGTCAGGGGGGTCTATAAACCACCCTGCCAATGTCCTGGTGCTGACACGAACGTTCGTATTCGTTATGTTGTTTAAGATGGAATAAGAACGCCAGCGGGGCAGCAGGTCGAAGGGTTGGCTGTGACTGAACGCTCCACGTTGGTCGGACCCGGCTGGAGGAATTGGGAGAATGGGCACAGGGTCGTAGCAATTCCCCCCAAAAAGGGCTCCATATGTTTTGACCCAAAGCCTGGCTTGGTTCGGGACTTCGCCTGAAAAATGCTGGGATGGGGCCAAAACCGCTGGCTTCTACCCCAGAAGACCCGAGGTGTCTGAGCCTCCACACCGGAGGCTCGGCGAGCTTGCTCTCCTGGTCCAATGGTGCAGGGACGAAATCGGACGAATCCAACGAGGAAACCCATGGGCTTTCAAGAACTCTGAAAGACCCTGACAATCAGGACTGTCATCCAACATGGCCAGCCGCCAGCACCCGAGACCTGGTCTCCGAGCTGGTAGCTTTTGCAGGACTGAAAAGTAGCAGGTGGTGACCTGTTGGAGGGTGCTGGTACATGTATAGGTTTTGGCCATTTGTGGTTGGTTGATGTCTGTTCCAGCATGTGTTCCATACATAGAGTGTCTACGATAGGTGCCTGTTGAAACTAGGCACGTTTCGGTTTAGCATGTTTGAACGGTCAGACACGCTTCTATTGTTGAAACATGTCTCAGTTTTGTATAGTATAGTGTTGGAAGATGTTGGAAGACTGCTGCAATTCTCTTCACCTTTGGCCCGCCCTGTTTGGTACAACACAACCCCCTTGGCGGGGTTGGATCCTGAACCAGCTCAGGGACCATGACAAGTTGGAAGAGCATGGCATCATAAAACAGGTTATATATATTAATATTAATATAATTAAGTCCAAGTCAGAGGTTGTTCCAGGTCAAACTGCCGAAGCTTGTGCAAGACGTCCACATCCTTAAATACTGGCCTTAAAGACGCCCGTCCAGGCGTCCGGATACCAACACGTTCGGTGCCCGCAGCTTCCCCTCTCCGTCATGGGGGAGACGTGACAGTGTCGGGTGCTTTTTTTGCATCTGGGTACCCAAAAATGCCAAACCACCGTATATAGTATAGAATGAATAGAACAGCTGTAATTTATGCAAGATTGTCCAATGTGAACCGCATTATTGCAGGACACCGCCTGGGGGGGGGTTCCGGGGTCTCTTCTCGCTCCCTCAGTTTTTCTGTCAAACAGAAGCTTTGGGGGGTCATCATCTCCCCAATCCCCCCAAAGTTCGCTGACTGGCCCGCAAACACTGAGTTCCTGGAGTGGAAAACTCCCGAAAACGGCCACAGTAGTGGTTTGAAAAGGCTCAAATCTAGAGCGAACCCATTCCGAACTCTCGATTCCAGCCACACCCAAGCTCTCCCCCCGTTCCCTCTCCGCCTTTCGAGCTTTGGGGCTCGAGCTCCGACCTGAGATGCCATCACTGCTCGGCAGGTCCGTCAGCGTCGAGCTGAATCGACAGGTCCGTCCGCGTCGAGGTCCTGTAGCGGTTGGAGTCTGACTGAATGAGAAGAAGACCGAGCCTCCTCGGTGTTTGTGAGAGAAGACCGAGCTGGCTCGGATCATTTTGGCACCAAGCAAAACTGCCAACAACAAAACCATCAGGGTCAGTAGTGGTTGTTCATTCTTCCCCTGGTGGGCCAAATGATCATTGGCATAAGAATGTTGACAACAAACAGCGCAGTCGGGATTCACTATGGTGATTCGTGATTCAGCCATAATTTATAACCCATCAACAAGAACTAATTGTCTGTGTCTGCCTGCAAAACACGCCAACAGACCTGTTCAGGCTTGAAATTAAAGGACCAGTTGCTGCAACTCGTATAGTGCTGTGGGCAAGGTGCCGTGCTAATGTGGCTCATGGCGAACTGGCGAACAGCGGTGACAATGGTAATAAATTGGACAACAGTGTCCAAATGGGTGTGTATTAAACTAGGCTAGGGAGACACCACAATTAACTGGCATTGATTGGCAGAGTTGTTTGTTTTAGTATTAAATACACACCCAAATCTGGTCCATGCCCATGATCGAAAAAACCAACAGGTCGGCCCAGGAGTACATCCTTCACGTCCTCGTGTTCGTCCGCCCGGACGTCGCCGGAGGACCCCGTCGGAGACTGTCTGAGTGCGCCCGTCTGCGGCTCCGCTCCTTCTCCTTCTTCCGGTCCTCTGCTCCGAACGGACGAACGGTGGGACCAACGGTGGTCCGGTACTCGGTACGGCCCTCCGGTTTAGACAGCGATCCGAAGGACCACGTCTTGAGAGTGGAGACCAAGTGAGGTATACCTTGCTAGCTGGTCGTTTCTGGCTCCGTTCGTAGCGATGCTCCTTGCTAGTAGCTTCTGGCTCCTACAAGTATAGTCGTAATGCCAGGAGCTACTAATAGCTTCTTGTTCTTGGTTACAGGTAGTGTCCAAAGTGTCCTTTAATCGGCTTTCAGGTCAAGAAGGGCTGTGATTCAACGTCTGGGCAGGAGTGAAGAATGGACACCCCGAAACCCCCCGTTGGCGCAACCCATTTGGATCCTCTTGGCATTCAAAGTTTAATTTAAGCCAGATTCCTATTCTAATTCTAATTACTGTATCAAAAATGACTCTGCACGACGCAATGATGGTATTTGTTCCCCGGATACGGGCAAATGTCATTCTCTTGTTGGTGAATACGCGAAAGATCGCGAAAGTGTATGACCAACCAATACAAGTGTTTAAAAAAAAAGAACATCATACATAAACAAGACCTGCATCAAACGTTCAATATGTGCCATAGTCTTTGTTTGTGACCGTGTGTCCCATCTCTATGGTTCCCACATGTTCCCACATAACCCACATACCAAGCACACACTCCATCTATTTCATGATATCTCATGCATCCGCGTTCGGTTGTTTCAGGGTCAATGGAAGTATATAATTACCCAGTTGTTGTAAGTATTGTGGCAGCCACCAGTCACGTTTCCCCTCCACCGTCTCCTTTTTTCTTTTGGTGTTGCTCGCGGATCGACTCGCCTAAGTTAGGCGTGGCGTGCGTGTTCGAAAGCAAAGATCGGTGAGTGGGTGGCCACAAGTAGCAATGCTAAACATCTAGACTGGGACCTTCAACTCGCTACCATTTCAGGATAGGATATGATAGGATATATCCCATACACGACCCGTGGGACTGCCACAGGACTGCCGCCCCAGACAGACCCCCCTGTCACCACCCCTGGTCGCCATGATCGGTGGGCATATATGCCAGTCCCACTGGTCCGGTTCATCCGCTTCGTCCGGTTCGGTTCAGGACCGGAAGGTCCAGGTCGGTTCCGTCATGTATGCAAGGTCGGTTCCGTCATGTGGCACGCACACCATGGAGTTTTACAACAATCTTGGACATGTTGTACCAGCAACGGAAGTGCTATGCTTTAATCTCAGACACTCGTGACCACAGTCGGTGCGCCGCCCTTCTGGTTTGCACTTGATTCTGATACGCCTGGAGCTTTGGACAAGGGATGCAAATGAATGCAGTATAGCAAACCGGGACAGTTGCAAAACAATAACCACAGGCTTGGGGATCGGGCGCATCACGATGGGCACCCCGCATGCGACCACGGTTCTTGAGCTCATGCAACCAATCTTGGGTTTCGATGAGTGGAGACCCTTCAAACCATAGCAGCTGCAAGGTGGTAAGGAAGGACATCTTCATTCAAGCGCCAGTCGATGACGTGCAACGCCAGGCGCAGTTTCCAAACCGATGACGTGCAGCTTTCCTCGCTTCAGTGACTGCTGAAAAGCATCGACTTTGGACACAATTTGAATGCAGGTGCCGCCAATTGGCACGCAATAGCGCATGCTCAAGTCGCTCGCTTGCTTGGGCCTTCACAAGTGGCTCCAAAGTAATGCTGTCGGATTTGAAGCTCCTGGCTCCTGATGTTGCAGTCACCTTCTTAGCTCCGCCCATTGCAATAGGACCTCTGAGAAGAACGAATGTCTCAAATAAGCCGCAATTATAACTCACGATCTAATGCTTCGAGTATATTCAAGTTGGAAGTTGTGGTGCACAGATCCAATTAGAAACTTTAAATATTCCACCAAGTCCCCAGTTCCGAGTCCGGAGTTTGCCAGAAGCTACTTTGGCACCCCTCATTTCTACCACAGTGCGTGGCCAGTCAGCCTGGCCAGTCCAGCTACTGATACGCCAACTTGGCCACTTCGACTCCGCCACGGACTCCCTCACGATCACGCCAAGGCGACCCTACGACCGTCAAGGCGGCGACCGACCCGTGCTTCGTCCGCCGGACTCGTCCATCGCTTCCGATCCGATTCCCGAGGACGCCCCTGCTTCAGAGAGCACTGAGATGAATGGCATGTTGTTTGTTTTGCTTGATGTGTTCTGAAGGCTGTCAATACCAAACTTCATGAAACAACATTCATGTGTTCTTGCGATGGACGTTCTTTTTGACGGTACCTGTGCTTTTGACGAACTACGCTGAGCCGATTTCAAGGATTGCTATTGTTTTTGGATGTTTTTGGATGTTTTACTTATTTTTGTTTAATTGGATGTATGTCGGTTTCAATGTTCCAAGTGTTTCGCTAAAAAGTGGTTCTGAAGTTTATATTGCTCTTTTTAATATACTTTTTATTGTTGGAAGGATTTGGGCTTGACTAGCGTCCGGAGGTGACGGCAGGTAAAGATAATAACACGTGTTCCAGGTCACAAAACATCAATCATAAACATGTACCATGGATTAAGCATGGATTTGTATCTTTCATAAAATGTCGGTTAACATAGATAGTTTGACATGTGCATACATGTGGTGTCTATGGCTTGCCAGTACGTCTTGAACATGTCCCTCTCATCTGGGAGGGAAAAAAAAAGAAACGTCCTACTTCGCTAGACTTGAACACAAAACTCCCGCGCCCCAACATATCATGGAAGACTAACCTCTCCAGTGCGGAGAAACAAACAACCTTTGATGATCCATTGATGAACAAAAAAAACACTGTCATCGTTTTTTTTGTAAAGGATTTGGAAAGAGAGGTTGAGAGACCTGAACCTTCGGACCCTGGTCTGTGCTCCAGAAGGACGTGGTAAGGCTGTTCAACCTCTGGGTTCTTATCTCGGTCTGCGTGACTTGGCACCGTGACATGCGTGACACCTGCGGGCGCCACCGTGACACCAGGGCTTCCCGCATCTCGGTCTCTCCGTCGGTCCTGGCCGCAGCTAGGGAAAGCCCTGAGAATGGGAACGGCAACGTTTGTTCTTGGGGACTCCAGGCATGTACCAACAAGTCCATGAATTGATTGGTGCGCTAAGCTGGTTGTCCTTTCATAGCGACCTATGTATGTGTTAGTATATTGTTAGAACATAGAACCTGAATGACATCTCTTTTGGACCACCAACCACACACCAGGCACCCCAAATATGGCCCTTTCCTCTCAAAACAGGGGTCATGCCTGGTTTCTAGGGTTTTCATAGAGTCTAATTATACTGTTGGGTAGATCCCATTACCAGGGCCTAGTGGATTCATTCATGAGAAAAAACATGAAACAACATCTTCAACCAACGGCAAGATACGTGCGAGTACACTCCATGAAACTCCCTACAACATCCTACAACTATGCCACTATACGGCCAGGGGTGGTTTTGGGGGTCGTTTCTCGGCATATGGCAGTCCCCCCTACTGCCCGTGGATGGGGCCGTGGCAGTCCCCATCGGTCGTGTGCAACCGGTTCCAGCCGTCAATTCCCATCGCTTCGTTCCTTTGGGAACAGATAGAACGCTTGAGCTGGGTTTCGGGTGTAAACTCCTTAGTACTGTGGTTGGGTAAATGCATAAAGCCATATAAAAGCCATTGTATGACTATATATGCATGTATATATATATAATCAGTGGTCTGTGCTCTCCTGGACTGGACATTGAACACGCTTAAACATAGACCCAAAAAGCATCAAAAAACCTACTGGAGGAGCAACTGGGGTGGGAAGTCTTTTGAAAGCTCTGAGCAAGCCCAACAATTGCTTTAACATCTATCAATCAACCAAACACTTGGTGAGATTCATATCTGTCTAGCTCCACGTGTCTTGAACATTTGAGACTGTCGAATTGTGGTTGCCTCGAAGAATTGCTCTGACTCGCTACCGGCGCCGCTGCCTTAGCGCCTAACAACCGTCACAGGCCTTGTCGCGCTTATCGCGGTCCTGCAGATTCAGCAAGCTGGGTGTGTAATGTAGACTCTTGATGAATAACCCCTTCAACGAAAAGGTTTTACGATCGACATTGGGAGGGGGTGTCATGAATCAACATTCATCCACCAGCACCTTCCAAGCCCAGTAGGTTTTGGACACCCCTTAACTTAACCTCTAAGAGGCTATTTATAGACACCTCAGATGGAAGGTCCTGGCACAGTCATCATTAGCTCCGGACCCTGCGAAAACCGACGGGCGACCACTGACCTCCGAACCCGGAACATCCAGGTGGTCGTCGTCGGAACAAGGGCGAGGGCGTGTCTATGATCGCATGACCTGCTTATATAGATGATCGAACATGATGAAAATCCGTCTTCTAAAACCCCCCAAAGGCTCCAGATTGGAGCCCTCTAGATGGACCCTTGTTCAAGAAACCTCCATTGAGTTTACATAAATGCAGAAAGTGCTTGGTTTTGGAAAGATCCTACCATTCCATGGGTGGAAGCCGAGTCTGACTCTGGTGACTCACGAGAAGAAAACGACGTGAGGATCTCGAGTCATTCTCCTCCAGCAATCCAGGCACCATGAAGCCAACAAAGCAATGTCGAACCACCGGTGAGACTGCACGCCAAGCTGAACAGCTTTTCACAGGTTGACTGGGACCAGGTGTAGTCCGCACAGCTTTTCACAGGGCTGCTGTAACAAAAAGGATGTTGAACATGAAAGAGAACACATTTGGGCTATTTAGGCCAATTGAGGTGTTTCAACGACGCATTAGATAGGT